CCATTAGAGCAGAGGAGGAAACAACGTTTATCTATGCCGAAGTAGAAATAGCTGTAATCTGCGATAAGCACGCGCCATAGAGGCTTTACTATTGACACAGATAAACATAGGAACCATCTTGGCGTGCTTAATGGCACTGAAATTCAAATCGATGGAAATTTATACCGGTTTTGGAGGATTGCGCGTGTTGCAATATGCGCGTGTATGCACGCGCGAAATTGTACACGTACCGTTTTTTTGTCATTCGAGTCTCGTCTCCTCGATCACTCCGTCAATCGACTGACAATTCGGATGGGGAAACGACGATGCGGAAGACGGGTAGATCCTCTTTGCGCGTATACACAATTTAGAATTTTCACACTCAGGTGTGTACGTACGTATATATATGTTATACACATCAGACACACACGCGCGCGCGCACACGTACACATACGCGTAATCTTTCTTTCGCGGCCGAATGTTTATATATGCGCGCAAAAGCAAAAAACGCGTAAAACCAGCACGGCACGTGTACGGTACGAAGTCAGACTGACCGTGCCATGGGGGTCGGAAAGCCACAGGTGTCATCTGCGTTCCCTCTTTCTCTCTCTCTTTTGCTCTCACCTACCTACGTCACAGAGTTCCCTTCTCAGTTGCTATCCCCACTCCGATCACCAACCTCAGGGCTGGGGATGTCGGGACGTTTCGCGGCGGCGCGCCGCGTGTTGAAAACAGACACATATGCGCACGCATGTAAATACTGATGAAGATTGTCACCGCATCCTTTACGATCCTTTTACGATAATACGTAGCGTATGTACGCATCATAATATGTTTCATTTAGAATTATGCTGAAACAATTCACATAAGTAAATTGACTGAAAAACGAGCGATTTTTAGAAGTTAAATACATAGTTGTGTTCTCTTTCTCTCTCTTCTCTCTTCTCCTCTCCTTTTTCTTTCCGCTTCCTCGCAGTGTTTTTTTTTTTTTTTTAAACTAATGAATGAAATAAATTGGATTGTAAGAGCCGTTTGCAAGGATGTTGTGCGGAGAATGTGCTTAAATATATACAGGGTGTTTGGTAATTACCGTATCACCGCTCGTAGGCAGGTAGAAGGGATTATTCTGAGTCGAAAAGTCCTGAACCATTTTTTTCTATTACATATGATAAAGGAGTAATTATTGAATAAAGTAAGCCAATCAGCGCCGACCTTTAGCCAGGCACACGTCAGTGAGCGCTCACACACACCAGGCGCGCGGCTCACTGACGTGCGTCTGGCTAAAGGTCTGCGCTGATTGGCCTGATTTACTCAATAATTACTCCTTTATTATAAATAATAGAAAAAAATGGACTTTTCGACTCAGTTTTACTCCTACCTGCCTACGAGAAATTGTATGGCAATTCTGGGACACCCTGTATATACATGTATACGCATATATACTTCGAAATAATTTTTTTTCCTGCATATAGGAAATAATTATTTATTTTTTTTTTTTTAATACGGAATTGTAACAAAAAATGTATAGTTTTGAATATTTAAACTTAAAAAAAAACCACATAGTTTCTCTGCTCAGAGATTTATTCACAATATCAACAACAATTGACGATTCGAGGGCGGAAAATTTAAAATTCATAGTTCAAATAGATATTTATTCAAAAATTATGTCCAATATGTGACAAAACATGTAACGTCAGTTACGCAGCGTGACACACGTGTATTCTCACTCATTCGCTCACACTCACACCAACTTCTTTCACATTTATTATCTTTTTCTTCTTTTCTGTTTTTTTTTTTTAACATAAACGTAATATATTTACTACTTAAATGTATAATTATTATTTTTTCCTTCTTTTACGTGTAGTGTAGATTTTTTTGTAGAATATTGAATGTACACACACATATACAAATATATATATATATATACATATATATGTATATATATTTGTTTTTGTGTCTAAATCGTCCTTATTCATGTCGGTTGCAAATTCATATGCATGCAATTTGCCAGTGTAATGTCATTACTTAACTGCTGATTGTGTACATGTTTAATTATATGTGATATGGCGCCAAGCCACTGTTATTTCAGTTTTTACGCTACGTAATTTCCCGCTTACACAAACTTGAGACTTTGTCGGGCAAACGACGACGATTTTTCGTTCATCCACATAATATGATGACGGAAATGTGAATGTAGAAAAATAATTTAGGTTTTAGAAAAAGTGAAGACTATTTAGAAACAATAAACTTCTTTACACATAGTAACGTTTTGTTTAAAAACGTTTCTCTTGTTTTTTCTTTTTTTTCTTGTTACGTAAACATTGTTTAAACACTTAAAAAAACTAAATATATTTTTTTCACAAAGAATTATAATTCGTGTAAATTCACAACTGTGGATAAAAAATTTACAAATTTGTATCTAACAAAAAAAGATAGATTTAATAATAAGAGAAAAAATAACTACATATATTTATCAATATCTGAATCATTACACAAAAACCTGACTTTTCATTACTTCAATTTTGTAAGAAATTTAGTACGAGAAAAATTGTTAAATATTTTTTTCCGCAACATACAAAAGAAAAATGTCGTACAATGCATTATAAACACGTTAATGACAATTGTGATAATTTTAATTATAATTATTGTAATAATTAATTTTTTTACGCAAACACATAATTGAGTTTACCCAGAAACTTTGATATTTTCTTTAAAATATCAAATGTTTAAAGAATTATTTGTAAGTTTTCTCAATCGCGGTCCACTTTGCAGAGTTCCGGTCGCTCTCGACTTCGTCGCGTGTCGCCCGTGAGAACCGTACGACCGTCCTGGGAAAACGGAAGCACTTCCGCACTCGCTCGCTTCCCTCCCTCGTCGTTAAGAGGTTCCTCTCCTCACAAAAGATCGTACTATCGCGCGCGCGGTATTGCACGAGAGAGTGAGATATGTTATTGTGGTAACCGTTCCCAAGAACTGTTCCAAGAAATCGATGTTCGTCGAGCACGCGATGCCGCAACTATAAATAAATTATGTTTTAAATAAAAATTGGTGACGCGAGATTTGGGAAAGTAAACCCGTAAGAGTTCATTAATATTGAATGCTTTTATTAGCAAATAGAATTTTCTTATGTATTAACTCGACTTTGAAATTTCTAGGACTTCTCCTTAACGGAATGATAAAAATATAGAGAAAGTACAAAATATTGTAGAGATATATAATTTTTTTCTTGTGCTACCGTCCTCAAGATTAGGTATCCGATTTTTTGCTATTATTGTTGTTAAAAGTACATGTGAAAGCGTATCGTATACTAAATAATCCTATCTATTTCCTAAATAGTTTTTTTTTTTCTGTCTCTTATGTTTTTAATAAAATAAAAAAGTTGTTCAAACATTGCTTGTCAGTTTTATTAGTAAAAACTGAACCGAATTAGCAGCAAGTGCGCAGACATAAGTCTTTACTATTTACTTTTTTATGCCGGATTTTGCAAGTGTATCAGAAAAAAAAGTTTTTTCTGATATAAACAAACTCGATGATAATAAAACACTGCCTTTTGTATTATATATATTATATATATATGTATATATTTAATATAAAGGCAGTATTTTATTATCATCGAGTTATATATACACATATATATATATATGGGTGTATATAATATATATATTATAATTTTTATTTTGCTATCATTCTTTAGTTAATATTTAGTGCAGATAAACGATTTTGTTCGTTGTACAAACTGTGAAGAAATAAATTTCAGAACTTTCAAACAAAGATGCATCTATAAAATAATCCGTGTTATATTTTGACACAGATATTGCATCTTTTAAGGCACTGGCTGCAGCCGTTCACGCTTACTGTCCTTTCTTCTTTACTTTTTTTTCTGCTAAATTACTTCTAGTTTAATCTTAAGTAAATATATAAAACTCAAGCTCGCGGTGAGCATGGTCTAGTTTGAGAGAGCCTAAACAATGAAAAAAACTGAAAAAAGTAATAAAATAGTCTTAAAACAAGTCGAAAAACCAGTGCCTTAAAATAGCGCTGGTTCTGTTTTGTAGAATCAGTTATGAAGAAGACAACAAGCGAAAAATAATTATTATTCCCATTATCCAGTCGTTTCGATTGGCAGATGTGTTTGAAATCATACATTATATATGTATAATTAACACTGTGTGTATGTGTGTGTGTGTGTGTGTGTGTGTATATATATATATATATATAAACTATGCATATGTATGTGTATATAATATATACTACAAGAAGACATTTCTCTAATTTTCATATGTTTAATAAACTTATAATTGCACCACAAAAGCGTGTCGTCTCTCTACCTGCGATTGTCATTATTAATCCGCCGTTGTTATAATCGTCAAGTCTATCGGTCCGTCTGTTCATAAAATAAATCTCATACTGATGCAGTATGTTGTTCATCTCAATCGCGACTTTTATCACGTTATCCTTTTCGCACGATGTGCTTTGTTATTCGTAAATGTTCAGAGTATCGTAAGGCACATATTTTCGAATCTCCCAAAAAACTGAACCAATAACCTGCTAATCTCATCATGCACGACCGAAGTCGAGACGCGACTCTGGAAAATCTTTTTACCGTTTTACAAGTTGACACGCAACTCCTTTGTTATTTACAAAGAAAAATGTTTTGTCGTTAAGAAGCAAAAATTGGGAAAATTATTCAATAAGATGTGTCTATGATGTTTCAGAAGAACAAAATACAATCCGTGTATAAAATTGTCAACGAATGATGTTAATAAACTTTTATTCTATAAAATGCTTTTGCAACATTTTTCTTCTCGACGTACATCTATACATGTATACGGATTTGCTGCGTTATATATATTTATGTTTTAAAATTTTCTAGATGTGAGTAGAAATGCAGCAGCATAAAAATGTTTAAATTTTGTGATCTACAAGTATTTCTGTTTGTCTTGTTTTTTTCTTTACTCTTTCTCTCTCTCT